CTGATTTTTCTATTTATGGAGTAGGTGTCTGCATTTTTTCCTGAAGTGTCTGGATGCAATTCAGAGGGGATAAAATCTTTCTTGGTAGGTCAAATCCTGGCTCGGGAATTGTAGGGTTGCTGACAATGTATTTCTGTGGCAAGTTGGTATTTGCCCAGGCTTCCCTCCATTGTTTGTTCTTCAGTGCTCTTGTTATCATTATAGAGCTTCTTGTCATACTTCCAGAATGGTTTTCTAGACTTGAGCCTATCCAGTGGTGACATAGTAATGTCTTTGTTGATTGGGAGGTTTGGGTTACTGATGGGCCCCATGGTATTTCCTCACACATGCGGTATTGCAGCATCAGTGGTTGCTAGGACTGGAAGCCATGGCAATGGCGTACTTTTTAGCATTCCTGATATAATCTGCATAGCTGCATTTAACTGTGTATCAGCAATCTTTGTGTACACGCTTTTGTTCCAGACTGGGGAGCAATATTTTCTGCAGAGAAAACAAGTGATAGTGTTCGAAGTGTGGTTACATTTGCTCCCCTTGTTGTTCCGGCCAGTTTACAGACAAAGTGAACTCGTTGCTAAAACAACGAAAGCACGTTCTGTAAATGCTCACAAAAGGTGAGGCTCCAATTGAGAGGTATACCAAGGTATTTTGGGAACTTCTCACGCTTAACCTCTTCTCCACAGTAAGTGATGGTGAGTCTTTGGTTGGCGTGGGCATTATTTAGATGATAAGATGTGATGACAGTTTTTTTCCTCAGATTTGGGCGGTGTCTCCCACACAAGAAATATTTTTTCACAAGGCCTCTCTTGTGCTTTGGGGTTTCTCAGCAGCCCTGGTCTGGGTTTGGGTTCCCTGGTGGTTTCTCCTCTCCCTCCTGGGTTTCCATTTCTGAACTGGAGTTTTCTCCGACATTTGGGGTTCTCACCAGGTTCCCTTTTTGGGAATCAAGCTCCTTCCTTTCCCGCTTAACCTCCCTATCAGTTCTTGCAAGTTCCTCCAACCACCTGCTTTAGGGTGGACTTGCTCTCCTGGGAGGAAGTCATGTTCTGCTTTCCAGGGGGGTCCCCTCCTTTTTTCTCCCCTTTCATGTGCTTCTCTGCCCCCCTTTTTAGGGGGGTGGTGTCTGTGGCCTCTGCTTCTTCGTTTTTTTTACTTGCTTGTGAAGGAGTTGGGACAGTCTTTAAAGACATGCCCCTTTTTCCCACACAGATTGCAGAGTCAATCCTCTTACACTCCTTGCTTTCATGATCTTTTTCATTGCAAATGGCACAAATTTTATTTGGGCATTGTGACACCAAATGCCCCTGCTCTCACCACACTTGTGGCAGAGCTTAGGCTGCTCCTGGTAGAAGATATAGCCTCTGTGGGGGCTTAGGGAGATCACTGGGGGGGATGTGCTATATCTGACCTGGATTCCCAAGTACGTGTTTCAGCATTGCCTTGGCCTTCCAAGCTCCAGCCCACACACCCAACTTGTCTTGAACTTCCTCCACTTTTTCTACTTTCTCACAGTGTCTTTTAAGCCAAAAGCTTATGTCCTTTACTTTTATTTGACCAGAGTACATCTGGATTGTAATCAGTCTCTCTTTCCTTGCATCTCCTCTGGCAAATTGAAAAACATGCAGTTGGGGATTTGCCTCAGCCATCTGAAGCTGATATCAGAAATCTGATCTGTTCTTTGAATTCCTGAAGCGCAGTTCCCACTCTGCCACACCCAGCATGCAAATTAGTTAATGCAAATTTGTAAGGTTTACCTTCAGCAGGTCCTGTATGATCTGAACTAAGAAATCTTCTCCCCATCAGTAACTTTTCTGGGTGCAAATAAATTCCTAGATGGTAAGGGGCTAGAAGGGACCTTGCAAGATCATTGCACTAAGTAGGAAAGACATCTGGGGTCAGGTGACCACAGCAAGGTGACTGTGCAGTCTCCTTTCAAAGATATCCAGGATAGGTGACTGCACCATCTCCTGGAGTGAGCTTATTCCACAGTCTGGACACCCTGACTGTGAAATTTTTCTTAGTGGTAAGCCTGAAACAGTCTTCCAGGGGCTTGTGGCCATTACTCTTGGTTTTCCCCAAGGGTGTCCTGGTGAAGAGTTGTTCAGAGCCCTTGATGTATTCCCCTGATATAGTGGTAAGCTGCTACCAAGTCCCTTCTTAGCCTTCTCTTTTTTAGGCTGAAGAGACCCAAGACCCTTAGCATTTCCTCATGGCTTGCCTTGCAAGTCTCTAATCATACCGGTTGCTCTTCTCTGGACTGTCTTAAGCTTCCCCATATCCTTGTTGAAGTGTGGTGCCCAGAACTGGATGCAGTACTCCAGCTGCACTCTCACCAATGCTGAGTAAAGCAGAAGAATCACTTCCTTGGTTTTACATGAGATTCATTGGTTGATGCATGCCAGAGTATTGTTTGTCCTGCTGGCTACAGCATCACCCTGACAGCTCATGTTCATACTATGGTCTGTTATTACCCCTAGGTACTTTTCAGTTGTGGTGCTAGTCAGTTTGGTGCTAGTGAGCCTGTAAGTATGTTGGGGATTGTTCATCCCCATATGGATCACTTTACACTTCACAATGTTGAACTTCATCTAGTTCCGATCTGCCCAACTTGCCAGCCTGTCTAGGTCCGCCTGTATCTGCAGCCTATTTTCAAGCATGACCACGTTCCCCCATAACTTGGTGTTGTCCACAACCTTGGCCAGTGAGCTCTTCACCCTCGCATCCAAATCATTGATAAAGATGTTGAAAAGCACTGGACCAAGCACTGACCCCTGAGGGACACCACTGGCCACTTCTCGCCAGGGTGATACATATCTATTCATTAGAACTCTCTGGGTCGTACCTTGCAGCCAGCTTTCTACCCACCTAACTGTTGAGCAGTTAAGCCTGCAATCCTCAAATTTTCCTGTGAGAACATCATGGGTTACCAGAACAAAGGTCTTCTGGAGGTCTAGGTATACAATATCAACCTCCTCTCTCTTATCCAGGTGGTGAGTTACATGGTTGTAAAAGGAGATGAGTTTGGTAAGACTGGACCTGCCTGTGACTAAGCCATGCTGGCTGTCATTCAGAATCCTACCTTCTGCAAGTATATCACACATGGACTCCTTGATTAATTTTTCTAGGACTTGCCCTGGGATAGAAGTTAGGCTAACTGGCTTATAGTTGCCCAGGTCCTTTCTCCTCCCCTTCCTGAGCATAGACACAACATTGACCCTCTTCCAGTCTTCAGGGACCTCCCCCAAGCACCATGAGCTTTGGAAGAGTTTTGCCAGAGGTCCCGCAATGACTTCAGCCGGCGACTTGGATGAAGTTCATCCAGCGTTGCTGACTTATAAATGTCTACCTTTTCTAACTGATTGTGCACCAGCTCAATGTCAACAGTAGGAAAGCAGAAGTAGGAAATGTCCTGTGTTCACCAAGCATCTCAGCTGTAGGCCTCCTTTCCTGTCTCTGTTGTGTTTTGGGCTCCAGTGATACCCCTGTGCTCACTGGAGGAGTTTCAAGGTTCTGTATCCAAACTGATAAGCAGGGATCCTGGTTTTCTCTGATTAAAAAAAAAAAAAAATCCCCACTTTTCAGATTTAAAAAGTATAATCCAAAATCTACATTTTTCAGTAATTAAAATGAAACGCGCACACACACACACACACACACACACACACACACACACACGTGTGTGTGTGTGTGTGTGTGTGGTGGTGTTTCATTTCAATCATGGAAAAATGTGGATTTGGGGTTACTTATTTTCATCTGAAAATTATGGGGTTTTGTACTAATCAGAGAGAACCAGGATCCCTGCTGATAAGAACAGATTTAACTTTTATTAGTGAATGTTAAGAAGGGAATTTACAAAGTTGAAGGGGTAGAAGGAAATTAAAAAGACTTGGACAAGGGTGGCTCCATAGCATGGGATAGAAGAAGAGAGGGGAAGAATCTCTGCCTTTTTGGCTAAAATCAAAATTGATGAGTAACTTTGCTCTTGAATATTGCAGATGCGATAACACTGTCAGAAATGCTTGAACTCTTTCCAGTGTGTCAGCTTTCACGTAGACAAATGCAAGAAGCCTGTATAGTGTGACATGTCTCAAAGTGCCAGTACTGTAATAACCACTAGGCTCTGTATTAAGGACTATGGCACTTGCTGCTTTGTTGCAGCTGGGTACAATTCTGTAAGTTCTTTCAAGCAAATTTCTTTTATTTAAGAAGTCAGCCTCAGTATAAGGTTCACAATTAATGGGCTAAAATATGATGCATGATTAATAAAAGCTTGAGCTCTGGGTCCTTTTAACTGAAAAGCTTTTGATGATTTTCTGTTTCTGATCTCATATAGCACACTATTCTTAAAAAAAAACAAAAAAAAACTCATGTGTAATGCAACAACTTCTTCAACTTAAGACTGTGTGCGCTATGACTTTTTGTTTTTGGTGAGTGTCACCACTTGTAGCACAGGCAAGAGTGGCTGAATGACACACACTGTCTGTCCCTATTATGCAGGCCTCCTCAAAACAGGTTTAAACAATAAAGCCTTAGTCTTGACAGACTTCCTGGAAAGTGCTGGTAAGGCTGAAGGGAATAATTGCTATCTTAAGTTCTTACTTTGCAATCACCATACAAACCATAGGGCATGCAGGGCCCCTACTGGCTTGTGTAGTGACTTACAGGAGTAGTCCCATTGCCTTCAATTTCTTGTATGAATAAGCATTATGGGTATCAGTAAAGATTTGCAGGGCTGATTTGTTGGGAAGGGCTGAATGTTTGCACTTTTGTCTCAGACTTAAATATAATGTTCATCCATCTCATTTCTAGCACACCAGAGCAGAGTTATGATGATTCTGTTTGTCCTGGAGATGGAGTGGGTGCTAAGCACAGGGCAAGACAAGCAGTTCACGTGGCATTGCTCGGAGAGCGGGCAGCGACTGGGAGGGTACCGTACCAATGCAGGTGCTTGTGGCCTTCAGTATCCTTTTTTATGCAATGTCGTTTTTTTCCTCTTTCTTTAGAACATCTCTCTTCTTTTTTTTTTAAGGCTATTTAGTGTGAGAGATACTGGTGAGGTTTTTGTTTCAACTTCTAGCATGTTGGATGGACAGGGGCAAACCAAGGTCACAATCAGGCCAGTATACATTGTGCATATATGGTTAAGTTAAATTACTTTGATATCAAGTAATGAGAATGAACATTCCACTGTGGGACAGACCAATATGCATTTGGGATATGGACTAGCTAAAGGCCACTTGATTCTTAAAGGTCACTCTAGTCCAGTGATGTTCAACCTTTTTGCCCAGTGGGCTGGATGCATGGTGCCTAATCTGACCATAGGCTGAATCTGGCTGGTGGTCCTCATCCAGTGCCCAGGGCAGGGGCGGTGGGTCCCATCTGACTGCATGGAGGGGTGTTAGCACCTCTGTCCACCAGATAGTGCTTGGGGATCATTAAAGCACATGAATCCTTAAATGGAACATGAAATATGAATGCAGACAACTCAGTGTCCTAAAATCAAAGTCTAACTTTATTAGTACAACAAGTATTATCTTAGCAGTTTCTGTATTCGTAGAGGGAGAAACATTCAGTACAATAATCTCACCCAATTCCAGATGTTACTTTCTCAACAGAAAAGACTGCTACTCCAGTTCCTGGAAGCAAAGGGCATGGTGTGGGCTAGGACAGTCGCGACAGGTGTTAAAGGCTGGATTTATGACAGCAACTAACTTTCTTGCTCCCCCTTCTTTATGCTTTTCTTCAGCTTCACTCCTTTGGTCTCTCTGAAGTCACTGTACTGTCCATCTTTTATCACATCAGGATATTCCTTTGTCTAACAGACCCATCGTGAGCACACCTCCTAATTTGTCCTTTGCCCAAAGGAAGACACTGGAAATTGTCCATTGGTCTACCTTATCACTTTTCATTAATATATCCAATCCTTTTATCCCTCTGATTCAACTCTTAGTGCCAAGTTCAGTTAATTGGAGCTGGTAACAGTCCATTGCTATGTTATGTTAAAAGAATTTCTCAGTGATAAAAATAAAAAGATCTATTATAATGAGCACCTATGAACTCTACAAAAACAACTCAAAGCCAGATAATAAAAAAAAAAAAAGTTAATAAGGACAAAACTTAAGCAATGATTAAATAAGGCTAAATATAAACAATACTATAAGCAGATGCAACTTCAAAGTATTAAACATAACAAGCTACCCTACCAGGGGGAAGGAGCAGTACATTCCCAATCCAACCACATGGGGGAAGGGGGTTTGGGGTATTTGGCTTACAGGCCAAAGGCTGAGCACTCCTGCTCTATCCCTTTTTATTTTTTTGAATTTATTCCCAATTGCCCAAAATACAAGAAACATTCACTCAGTTTATCACCAATCAAAAAGAGCCCCAGGAACCTGGTATTTTTGAAAGGGCAGAGACCAAGATAGCAGCTGATATGTATCAGTAGTGTGAACAGTATGTCAAAGTGCTTCTGGAGAGTCTGCAGGACAAACACTGCAGTACGTTGCTAGATGAGACCCACAAGACAAAATTAACTCCCCTTCTGTCCACACAGGTAAAATAAGCCAGCCTGTCTTCAGTGATTGGCCAGGCAAAATGAAAAGTGTAAACAGGTACACGGTGAAAGTGGAATTGCATCAGGATTAGTAAATGATGCTAATTTTCAAGTAAATGTCTTGCCTGTCTCTTGGCTGCTAGTCCCTGGGAGTCCAGACACTCTTGGCAAAAGTAGACAACTTGGAAAGCCACTTCTGATAGGACCCCTATATTATGTCAAAGGGTGACCCTGGTTGAGATTAATATACACAAAGATAGCAAGGATCTTGGTAGAGCTAATAACTCCCTTATCTTGTTAAATCCAGATTTTCTCTAACGTTTCCTTGTGCATGGTTCTGGTCACAGAAGACACAGGCACAATGAAAGCTATTAGCGCTAACAGTCAGCTGAATACATGAGAGAACGCTAACATTTACAGGGGTTGGGACCTGTCAAAATGAATTATTCTTTTAATTTGGCTGGAACAAGTCCAAACACGCTTTGGTTAGAGCACCTGACAGGATGCACCTGTTCAGGCTAACGTTTCCCTAAATATGGGCCCAAACACCTTTAACAAAACACAGCAACTGCCACGGCTGGCATGAAGTCGTCTTTCTTCTGGGCATTATTCCATCACTAATGTTGGGAGAGCACCTAGCTAGCAGGGGCAGAGGGAGGTTTATACATGTAATTAGAACTTATGTTTATTCATGCTTAATACAATAATTTGTATTTAAACATTTAGGGACTACTATATAATTGTTCATAAAAATGCAGCATACTCTTCTATAACAACCCCAAAATACAGAACACCTTCCTGGATATTGCAAAACTTTTCCTCAATGTTTGGCCTTCAGATTTGATGTCGAGACACGGCATGTGTTTGTTGGCGATCACTCTGGGCAAGTAACCATTCTCAAATTAGAGCCACAGTCCTGCAGCCTTGTCACAACATTCAGGGGACATACAGGTAAGGTTTGCTATGAAATGATCCTCTCTGGTTCTTTGTTTGCTCAGCATCACTGTAGTGTGATGCTCATATGAGCTGCTGCAACGCTTTCAACTAATGGTTGGTGTTTGAAGGGGAAAATAGACCAGCTTAAATCAAAAGTGAGGCAAAGAGTGGTATAAGCAGAAGAGAGGTCAGACTGAAAATGCTGTATACCAGGGGTGGGCAAAATACAGCCCGTGGGCTAGATCCAGCCCTTGGGGCCCCTAAAATGTAGAAAATTAATATTTCTCTGCCCTTGGTTCCTCTCAAAAATTCAGGAACCAAGGACAGTAGGACCCAGGGGAAGCCTGGTGGGCTCCCACAACAGGGGGGGCCCCCTGGCTTTGCCCCCCCAGCCAGAAGCCCCAGCCACAGTTTCTGGGCTGGGAGCACGTGGCTGCTGGGTGGCACAGGAAGCTCAGGTAAGTGGGTGTGGGGGAGAACAGAGAGAGCAAGTGGAACACA